TTCACCAGTTGGCAGACATTTGGATTGCTTCCAATATTTAATTGCATTATAGTATTTGATTATAGTTATTATAATTGTATTATAGTAAATATAGTACAGTATTTAGCTATTATGAAAAACGCTGCTATGAAGATGGGTATGAGTTTTTGTGTGTACATGTGCTTTCAATTCTCTTGGTGTGTATACCTAAGAGTGGAATTACTGAGTCATATGGCAACTCTATGTTTAACTCTTTAAGGAACTGTCCAGCTGCTTTTCAAGGTTAGTGTATGAGGGTTCCAACTTCTCCACATCCCTGCCAACACTTATTTTCTGTCTTATTATAGTCATTCTGGTGGGTGTGACTTGGTTATCTCATTATAGCTTTGATTTGTATTACTTAGGATATTGAACATTTTTTCATTTTATTGGCCAACCATATACTTGACATTTATAAAATGTCTATTTAAATATTTTGCCTATTTTTAAAATTGGGTTATCTGTCATCTTATTGTTGACTTATAAATGTTCTTTATTTGTTCTAGACAAAAGTTCTTTATCAGACATATGACTTGCAAATATTTTCTGCCACTCTGTGGGTTGTCTTTTAACTTTAATAATATTGTCTTTTGAAGCAACAAAGGTTTTTTATTTTGATGAAATTCAATTAATCTGTTTTTTTAAACACAGTTTTTAAAAAACAGATTATTATTATTTTTTTTGAGTTGGAATCTCACTGGCACCTAGGCTGGAGTCCAATGGCATGTGCACAGCCACTACAGCTTTGAGCTGCTGGGCTAAGGCGATCCTTCCACCCCTTCTTTCCAAGTAGCTGGATCACACCACACTCGACTAATTCTTTGGTTTATTGTAGAGACGAGGTCTCTCCAAGTTGCCCAGACTGGTCTCGAACCCAGGCTCAGACAATCCTCTTGCCTCGGCCTCCCAAAGTGCTGGGATTACAGGCACGAGCCACCATGCCCAGCAAAAACAGATTAATTTTAAAATGTTTTAAAAATAAATTATTTTTACCTTTGTTGTCATATCTCAGAAATCTTTGCCTAATCTAAGTTTTTGAAGATGTACTTCTACATTTGCTAAGAGTTTGATAGTTTTACCTCCTACCTTTGGATCTTTGATTCATTTGGAGTTCGTTTTTTAATATGGTGTGAGGTAAAGGTCTACCTTTCTTTTGCATGTGCCTATTTAGTTGTTCCAGCACCATCTATCGAAAATATAATTCTTTTCTCATTGAATTATCTTGACACTCTTGTCAAAAAAATAATTGACCATATATAGAAGAGTTTATTTTTGGACTTTTGACACTATTTCATTTTTCTTTTTTTTTTTGAGTTGGTGTCTCACTCTGTCGCCCAGACTGGAATTCAGTGGCCGCTCCCAGCCACTGCAGCCTCAATCTGCTGGGCTCCGGCGATCCTTCCGCCTCAGCCTCCCAAGTAGCTGGAACTACAGGCGCGCACTACCACACTCAGCTAATTTTTTGATTTATTGTAGAGATGAGGTCTCACCAAGTCGCCCAGGCGGGTCTCGAACCCGCGGGCTCAGGCAATCCACTCACCTCATCCTCCCAAAGGCGAGGGATTACAGGCTGAGCCACTGAACCTGGCTTATTTCATTTTTCTATATGTCAATTCTTAAGTCAACACTACACTGTTTTTTTGAGTTTTCCCCCCAGCTTTATCAAAGTATGATTGACAAATTAAAAACTATGTATATTCAAGGTGTACATTATGGTGTTTTAATATAAGTATACCTTGCAAAATGATTCCCACAATCAAGCCTACTTGACTCACATATACATCACCTGACATAAATACCATTTCTGTGTGTGGTGAACACTTAAGATCTATTCTCTTAACAAATTTCAATTATTAACTATAGTTCCCATGCTGTACATTATATTTCTAGACTTTCTTCATCTTATAACTGAAAATTTATAAGTACAACACTTTTGACTACTGTAGTTTTGTAGTAAATTTTAAAATTGGAAGGTGTGAGTTCTCAGCTTTCTTCTTTTTCAAGAATATTTTTTCTCTTCTGGATCTCTTGCATTTCCATATGAATTTAAGGATCAACTTGTCAATTTCTACCAAAAAAAAAGAGACAGCTGGGATTTTGATAAGGATTATAGTAAATCTGTAGGTCATTTTGAGGAGTATTCTATCTTTATGATATTGAGGTTTCTGATCCACAAACATAGAATGTCTCTCCATGTATTTAGATCATTTTAAATTTCTTTCCACAATGTTATATAATTTTCAGTATACAAGTCTTATACTTATTTTTTAAAATTTACTCCTAAGGATTTTATTTTGTTTAATGCTATTGTGAATACAAGTATTTTCTTAATTTTACTTTCAGATTATTTATTGCTAATGTTTAGAAATATGGTTTTTGTTTATTTTGTATTCTGTGTTAGTAGTTCTCATGGGGGTTTTGTATATTTATCTGTTTGTTTATTTATTGTGGATTCCTTAGAATCTTCTACATAGAGGGTCATGGCATTTTATAATAAAAGTTTATATCCTCCTTTCTAATCTGGATACCTTAATTTCTTCTTTTTGCCTTATTGCTCTGACTGGAATGTCCATTACAATCTCAAATACAAGTAGTGATTATAATTCGTCCTTGCCTTTTTCAGTCTTAGGAGGAACGCATTCAAACATGCTTCATTAAGTGTGATGTTAACTTTAGTTTTTTTAAATCAGGTTTTTTTTGTATTAGTTTTTAAAATGTGTATGGGTATATATATCTAGGGGCACATGTGATGTTTTGATACAGGCATACACTATGTAATAATCACATCAGGGTAATTGGGTATCAATCACTTCAAGCATTTCTCAGTTCTTTGTGTTAGGAACATTCTATTTCTACTATTTTAGTTAATTTAAAATATACAATAAATTATTGTTGACTGTAATCACCCTGTTGTGCTCTCAAATACTAGATCTTATTCATTCTATCTGTTTTTCAACCATTAACCATCCCCACTTCCTCCCCTTCCTGATACCTGTGTCAGCCTTTGGTAACCATCATTCCCCCCACATATAAGTGAGAACATGTTAAATTTGTCTTTCTGTGATTGGCTTGTTTCACTTAACAGTGCCCTCCAGTTCCATTCATTTTGTGGTAAATGACAGAATTTCATTCTTTTTTATGGTTGAGTAATATTTCATTATGTTTATGTACCACACTTTCTTTATCTGTTCATTTTTTGGTAGACATTTTGGCTGATTTCAAATCTTGGCTGTTGTGAAAAGTGCTGCATTAAACATGGGAGTGCAGATATCTCTTTGATATACTGATTTCTTTCTTTTGGGTATATACCTAGTAGTGGGATTGCTGGATCACATGATAGTTCTATTTTTAGTTTTTGAGGAGCCTCCATACTGTTTTCCATAGTGGTTGTGCTAATTTACATTCCCAGCAGCAGTGTATGAGTGAGTGTTTTACTTTCTTCACATCCTCGCCAGCATGTTATTGCCTGACTTTTGATGAAAGCCGTTTTAACTGGGGTGAGATGATATCTCATTGTAGTTTTGATTTGCATTTCTTCTATGATTAATGATGTTGAACATTTTTCATATACTTGTTGCCATTTGTATGTCTTCTTTTGAGAAATGTCTATTCAGATATTTTTGCCCATTTTTAAATTGGATTATTAGATTTTTTTCTTATTGAGTTGTCTGAGTTCCTTATATATTCTAGTTATTGTTCCCTTGTCAGATAAGTAGTTTACAAATATATTCTCCCATCCTGTGGGCTGTCTTTTCACTTTGTTGATTGTTTCCTTTGCTGTGCAGAAGCTTTTTAGTTTGATGTGATCCTATCTGTCCATTTTTGTTTTGCCTATGCTTTTGAGGTATTACTCAAGAAATCTTTGCTTAGGCCAATGTCCTGGAGAGTTCCTCAGTGTTTTCTTTTAGTACCTTTCAGGTCTTAGGCTTAAGTCTTTAATCCATTTTGATTTGTAAAATCAGGTTTTTATCAGACTTTTATCAGATTAGGGAAGTTTTTATCATGGGTGGGTGTTGGATTTTGCCAAATTTTTTTTCTGCATCTATCAAAATGATTTTCTTTATCCATTATATTCTATTAATATAGTATATTACATTAATGATTTCTGATGTTAAACCAACCTTACCTTCCTAGGATAAATTCCCCTTGATCATAATGTTTAATCCTTTGTATATGTTACTATATTTGATTTGCCAATCTTTTGTTGAGGATTTTTGTGTCCATATTTATGAAGGCTATTTGTTGTTTTCTTGTGATGTCTTTGTCTGGCTTTGGTATCAAGGTAATACTGGCCTCATAGAACAAGTTGGAAAGAATTTTCTCCTCTATTTTCTGATAGAATTTATAAAAGATTCATATTTTTTTAACAACTTGGTAGAATTAATCTCTGATGCCACCTGAGCCTGGGCTTAGCTTTGTGTAAATATTTTTAATTGTTAATTCAATTTTTTTTAGTTGTTATAGGTCCATTCAGATTTTCTATTTCTCTTTTATTCAGTTTAAGTATTTTCTGTCTTTTTAGCTGTTTTCCTAGTGCCTTAGCTTACATATGAGTAAACCTGTTTTTTTTAATTAGTACACTCCCATATAGTCATAATGGGGCCTGTGCTCCTCCCTCAGACCCCCTTACATCTCTCCAAAAGTTAGCACTCAAAGGTTAACACCTGGAACAGCAGGGGACCTTCTGAACCCAGTTTCAGCTTAGTTTCCACCTATACAAATTGGTTAGTCCTCCTGCTATTCCAGTTATTAAATATCTTGAACATCTCCTCTTGGAAATGGAAGACTAAGACTCGGCATATTACTCGTGTCATTTTCAAACTTTCTTTTCTGCCTATCCCTAAATAGAAGATACAAAAATATAGTTAGGTCTATCAAAGATGTTGCATTCCAGATTATAAAAATATACAATCACTTTAGACCTCTTCTTTCTCACACCTTGATCTGAGGTTGATCATGTACTTCAACATACTACTGGGAAGGTCTGCCAAAAGGAACAGCATCAATTGGTTGGGTAAGTCTAACTGGCAGCCATGGGTACTGACTGAGAGACCTAGGAAGCTGAACCAAGCCCTGGCAGGGAGAGGTTGGTATCGGAGGCCTGGGCTGATTTCTAATGAAAGTTTAAGCCCCAGTTATGACTGTTACAAAGAGAAGAAAAGTGGCTGATGATGAGCATGCAGCTCAAAGTAAGTGAGCTAAGGAGTATGTCTTTATCCTAAAGGTGTTAAGATATGATGGCATACACATTGAGACAGACACAGATTTAAAGCACGGACACTGATGCCGATGCCTCCAGAAACCAGGCAGGTAGCACTTCCTCCTTTCATTGATTCAGAGATACACATTTCCTTTGGCAGAGCACATTTCTGAAATTAGAATGCATATTACAACTTCCAGTCATAAGTGGTGTGCAAAATAGCAGCGTCTTGCAATCAACAGTGATTTAGATTAGATGAAATAAAGAAAATGAGTGGTGTGGACCAGGAAAATCACATCCCTCTACGCTGGGCTTTCAATTTGAAAAAGAGTGATAGATACAGAGACTTACTTTTATACAGTAAGAAAAACAATCCAAGAGCAGTGTCAAACGGCAACTACTTTTCAACCTCTGTGTCTAGGAACCAATAGAGAGTGGTGTGGCAACTCTTTTTTTTGGAGGTGGAGTCTCACTGTCGCTCAGACTGGAGTGCAGTGGCCGCTCCCGGCCACTGCAGCCTCGACCTGCTGGGCTCCGGCGATCCTTCCGCCTCAGCCTTCCAAGTAGCTGGAATTACAGGTGTGCGCTACACGCCTGGCTAATTTTTTGATTATTGTAGAGATGAGGTCTCTACAAGTTGCCCAGGCGGGTCTCGAACCCATGGGCTCAGGCAATCCACTCACCTCAGCCTCCCAAAGGCGCAGGATTACAGGCTGAGCCACCGAGCCCGACTGGTGTGGCAACTCTTAAACAGAAGAGTACCCTTGCCTCCAGGCTGTCGCTCTGACCCAGCAGATTATTGCCTATGGTGACATAGGTCTAATATTGACAAGCATTCTTAAGCTTTCAAAAAATCAGAAACACAGGTCTAGATATTTATGTGAAATTCCTAATTTAAAAATAATGGCTCGATTTTTTTAACTGGCAAAAAAAAATGTGTGCAAGTTAGATCCAGCTTATAAGTACTCAGATAATATATAACCTCTGTTTTATGGTTGTGTCATTACGAGGCAGCATGAAAGAAACCACTTCTTTTTTTTTTTTTTTGACTCCAAGTCTTACTCTGTCACCCAAAAAGAAGTGTAGGGACACAATCACAGCTCACTGCAGCCTCAAACTCTTGGGCTCAAGCAATACTCCTGCCTCAGCCTCCAGAGAAGCTGGGACTACAGGTGTATGACACTATGCCCAGCTGCAAACTACTTTTTACAGTTAAGCCAAGATAGAAAAATTTAAACCGTTCCAAAGTTTAACACTAGGTTTAGAGGCCCAGAATAACAATTATCGCAGGGCATATTACTCGTGTCGTTTTCAAACTTTCTTTTCTGCCTACCCCTAAATAGAAGATACAAAAATATAGTTAAGTCTATCAAAAATGTTGCATTCCCAATTATAAAAATATACAATCACTTTTTAAAAAGCAGGCTTAGGTTTCCAAAGCAACAGCATTTGCTTCCTACTACTGTAGACTGTGGTCATTGAAAGGCAGGATGGAAAACTACCAAATTTTTAGAAGACCAGGGTCCTGGTTCTGTGATGTTGTATAAGTAATTTAGGCTCTCCCAGCTTCACTGTCCTCATTTATAGAATGGCAATGATAAAACCTACCCTCTGTACCTTACGTGGTTGTAATAAGGGCTACATGAGATAAAATATGTGAAAGTAGAAAGTGTTATGTAAATATCAGATGTTGGTATTGCCCAAATCACATGGGTAGTTGGCACAGTACAGGTTCTTGAACCTCAGATTCTCCATCTCTGTCCACTGTTCTTCTAGACCACAGTACCTATTGAAGTGGTCATCTCATCAGCCAATGGGTGAGTAGATGAGGAAGCATAAGGTAAGAAGTCAGCCAGTATTTTGGGATCCAAAATAGAACTGAGTCTCTGTACAGCAGGGCTTAGGGAAAGCTCAGATGTGAAACCTGAAGAGTTGGACTTTCACATATTTAGGAGCTACCTAGGAATGAGAGCATCACCTGAATTGTAGATCAGCCTCTGTGACTTTCTCACAGTTTGACCTTTGGCTGCTTCCTTCTCTCTCTTTTTCATATTTTCAGTCTTTATTGTTTTATGAAGAAAACAAAACTCATTTCTTCGGGATGAATATCCTTTCTTTTAAAAATATAAAGCTCAATTTTGAATGCTTAAGGAGTCAACACACTTCATCTTAGTAACAATATCCAGTCTGACTGTTTCAATACTTAGATCCAGCCATCTTAAATCCTAATGGAAAGTATACATGAAATAAGTTATACTTTTTTTTTTGAGTTGGAGTCTCACTCTGCCGCCCAGGCTGGACTGCAGTGGCACACTCACAGACACCCCAGCATCAACCCGCTGGACTCCAGTGATCCTGCCACCTCAGCCTTCCAAGTAGCCAGAACTACAGGTGTGCGCTACCATATCTGGCTAATTTTTTATTTATTGTAGAGACAGGGGTCTCACCATGTTGCCCGGACTAGTCTCGAATCTGCGGGCTCAGGCAATTCACTCTCCTCAGTCTCCCAAAGTGCTGGGATTACACGCTGAGCCACTGCACCCGGCCAAGTTATGCATTATATAAAAAGGAAAAGAAAACTATTATATTTAAAAAGATGTCACTTGCAACCGGTAACATATTTCTAAGTTGGACATTTTAATATAAATTTTTTCCTACAATCTCAAATTCAATCTGATTGAAACAAAATTGATTGTCTTATCCAAAGGACCACTCCTCTTCATCTCATTACTTCTGTTTGTGGCATCACTTATTTTAGGGGTCAGTAAACTTTTTTTGAAAAGGACCATAGTAAATATTTTAGGCCTTGAGGACGATAGAGCTTTGGTCACAGCTACTCATCTCTGCAGTTGTAGTACAAAAGCTGCCATAGACAATATATAAGTAAGTGAATATGACTGTGCTCCAATAAAACTTTATTTTATAAAAACAGTGGGTAGGATTTGGCCTATGGCCATTCTAACTCCTAGAATCCCCAGATGAAAACATCAGAGTCAGTCTTGTCTGACTTCTTTTTAAAATTTATATATTCAAGCAGCTCTCAAGTTACAATACTTATTCCTTTCAGGAATCCCCCTCCTTGCTCCCTTTACTTCCCTTCCCATTGTTACTGTGCATCTGAATTCATTTCCTAGGATTGCAATCACATACTCAGTGATTTTTTTTCAACTGGAGGTAAGGGTGTAGCTATAGGACTACACCCATTTACTGAAGAGATAGGATTTCTTGGGGGAAGGTTTGTGGTTTTCTGTTTTGTTTTGTTTTTTTGAGTTGATGTCTCACTCTGCTGCCCAGGCTGGAGTGCAGTGACATGCTCACAGCTCACTGCAGCCTCAACCTCCCAGGTTCAGGCAATCCTTCCACCTCAGCCTCCTGAGTAAATGGGGCTACAGGTGTGTGCCACCAAACCCAGCTAATTTTTTTATTTTGTTAGAGATTAGGTCCTGCTATGTTTGCTGGTCTCAAACTCCTGGTCTCAAGCAGTCCTCCCTTCTTGGCCTCCCGAAGTGCTAGAATTATAGGCATTAGCCACTATGCCTAGCCTCTTGGGGGAAATTTTAAGAAGCATTTTATTTTTAAGAAAAATGCCTATTTTGTCATAATAAAAGCTGTAGAAAGTAAAACTTGATGAAGGCTTTTTGGATGGTGGGTCATAGTTAAAAATGGTTGTGGAACATTGCTCAGTGTTTTCCCAAGGTATGCAGTGCTTACAATTGTGGTATTAGGTGGAACACAAACAAAGTTTTAAAATATTTATACCTATGTTTATTTTAATATGTATTTGGGAGAAATGTAGCTAGCACATCAAACCCATAATACCACTTATTTATTAGGGAGAGGCTGAAGTAAGTGTTTACATTTTTTTAAGTGTGCAGATTTATTTATTTGTTTTATTTTATTTTATTTTGAGTTGGAATCTCATACTGTCGCCCAGGGTGGAGTGCAGTGACATGCTCATGGCCACCTCAACCTTAACCTGCTGGGCTCAGGTAATTCTTCCACCTCAGCCTTCCAAGCAACTGAAACTACAGGGATCCACTACCATGCCCGGCTGATTTTTTGATTTACTGTAGAGATGAGGTCTTGCCAAGTTGCCCAGGCTGGTCTTGAACCCATGGGCTCAGACAATCCTCTTACCTCGGCCTCCCAAAGTGCTGGAATTATAGGCATGATCCACCGTGCCTGGCAAGTATGAATCTAAAGAAAAAGTTAACAGTAGTGAGTTCAGATAGAATGCAGATACAGTTAAAAGTCATTAGGATGGCACTAAAATACCTAAGTTTGAAAATCAGTGCCATTTCACCTCCTGTAGTTTGACTGTAATTTCTTTGTCTACTAATTATGGATCAATGTCATGGGAATACTTTCATTTCTGGTTCCTGATAGAAATCTGGAGTGGCTCACCACTTCCTGCCCAGTAAAATCTATCAAACATAGCCAGAAACCAATGCCCTTTAGCCTGAAATCCAGCCTTCCACTGTTCTCCTGTCTCAGAGTTTCCCAAACAATCTTTTTAAAAATGTAGTTACATAAGATTTAATAGATCTTCATAAAAGATAATCTCATGATCAGAAAAGGTTGGAAAAGTGTTGTATACTATACTCCTCTGGAATATCCACAAGGTATTATACCATATTAAAAGTTTTGAGAAGACTGTGGTAAAGAAATTGTCTGTTTACCCATTTATTTGATCCCAGAATCCCCCTTGTGTGAAACCAGTGTTTGTATTTACCGACTCAACCCATCACCTTTGTCCATAGCCCTCCTTTGTGGAAAGCACATTATGTTCTGTGGCTCTAGTGTGCTGCAGAACTTGGCTTGGAAAATGCTGTTCTATATCCACGTCCCCCACTTCCCACACTCCAAATTGAACCACCAGAAGTTAGGCATATATTCATCTCACTTTCCCATTCCCAAGCCTTTGCTAATTATTCGTCCTACGTGGGATGCTTTCTCTTCTCTGTCCATGCTCTCTGAAATCTTTCTCAG